ATGGAATAACAGAATAGTAAAGGAAGAAATGAACAGTGAACTGACAGTTACAATGATAGCTCATATTTCTTTTTAATTAAACATTTTTTATTTTATTTATATTTTATGAGTGTTATGCCTGCATGTGTGTAAGTGCACTCGTGTTGTGCAATGCCCAGGGATGTCAGAAGAGGGTGTCAGAGTTATAGACATTTGTTAGCTGCCATGTGGGTGCTGAGATTCAAACCTGGGTCTTCTGCAAGGCCAGTGCTCTTAACTGCTGCTCACATGTCTGAAAGTCCTCAAGGGCTAATCTAAATTCTCTTAGCAACGCCAGAAGAAATATCACAAAGTCTAAGCACAAAGACTCACAGTAGAATCCCCTCAGGCTTCTCTGATTTTTAGATCAGACATGATCCTAACAGTTATCACATAGTAGATAAGAACCCAATAAATAACATGGCAAATTGTTTAAGTGGAAAACACGGTAGGCAAGGGCATGTTAAGTAGACATAGCTCAAAACAAGTTAGCTAGTTTAAATTACAGTCTTGCACACATAAGAAGATTCCAAGGACATTAATATGTTAGAACAGCCATATTCATGGTACTGAAATGTGTCCTAAATCTTGTTTTGAAAATGACTAGCATAAGAGAATTATGTTTTTTGAAAGGGTTCGCTAAAAAAATGATTACATCAAAAATGGAATAATATGGGCTGGAGAGATGGCTCAGAGATTAAGAGCACTGGCTGTTCTTGCAGAAGACCCAGGTTCAAATCCTAGCACCCACATGGTGGCTAACAATCATCCAGAACTCCAGTTCCAAGGAATCTGACACCCTCTTCTAACCTCTGTGGGCACTGCAAAACACAAGTGCAGTTACATGAAGGCAATACATCCATAAAATAAAAATACACATAAAATTAAAAAAAATTTTTTTTCTTTTGGTCTTTATGAGTCAGGGTCTCTCTGTAGCCCAGCTGGCCTAGAACTTGCTACATAGATCATGCTGACCTCGAACTCACAGTGATCTTTCTGCCTCTGCCTCCCAAGTGCTCTGGGAAAATATTATTTTAAAAAATGGAATATGGGCTGGAGAGATGGCTCAGCAGTTAAGAATACTGGCTGTTCTGGCAGAAGACCTGGGTTTGAATCCCAGCACCCACATGGCAGCTAACAATGTCCATAACTCCAGTTCCAGGGGATCCAACAGCCTCTTCTGTCCTCCGTGGGCACTGCATGACTTACATGGGTGCACTTACTTACATGCAGGCAATACATGCACACACATAAACTATTTTAAAAAATGGAATAATAGTATATAAAGGGGTAGAGACATTAGTTACCTTAAAAACTTAAAAGGCATTTAAAAAATATCCTGCATACATGATAGTAATATACAATTCTCATACTTGCCCCCAATAAAACATGACAAATTTAAACATAAATTTGAAAGAAATAAAACAAAACAAAAACAAGGCTTTTATCTTTTTTGAACAAGAATCAAATTCAACTGTTTAGATACTGCAAAAAATAGCAACTGAATTGACACTATTTAAATACTCCTGTTGAGGTCATTAACTCCAAGAGGCAGACTGTCTACCTAGCCTACCTGTTCTCTATATTCTTGGAATAACCAAAGAGAGCACAGACTTACCTGTCAGAACTGCTTTGGCAGGTGGGTCTGCTAAATCCAATGCTGTCCTTCCATCTGTATTTCGGATGGTTGGCTCGGCTCCATGTTGTAGGAGCACTGCAAAAATAGCAACACTAACCTTCAAAATGGTGGTCGTGACAATGAATTAATAAATCATTTTCTTAAATCTGTACAGGGGCCAGTAAGATGGATCAGAGGGTAAAAGTACATGCTACATAAGACTAACAACATGAGTTCAATTCCTGGAACTCACATAAAGGCAGAGGGGTTGTCCTCTGGCCCTCCATGAGTGCCATGGCATGTACGACCTCCCTCTATCATACACATATGAAATAAATTAAAAAAAAAAATTGTTTTACAAAGTCCCAGGGGAGGAGGGGAGTGTGTCTCAGTACAGAATTCTGTTAAACAACTTTTTGTATCCTAATAAAATGGTGAATTTTTAAGAATATAAACTGGCCCAACTAATGCTCTTCTCAGGAATGTAGCAACTTGGAAGAAAACCTGGCATGCCTAAGATTTCTGGGGAGCAAGGGATGCATATTCTCTTTACCTTACTTTGGCTGTCTACATGCATATTAAAAAAAAAAAAAGATTATAAACTGGGGCTGGAGAGATGGTTCAGAAAAAGCACTGGCTGTCTTTGCAGAAGACCCAGATTTGGTACCTGGCACCATATGGCAGCTAACAACTGTCCATAATTCCAGTTCCAGGGTTCCCAACGTCCTCTTCTGGCCTCTGTGAGCACTGTATGTGAGCAACACATGCAGGCAAAACAATCTTGTACATAACATAAAAATAAGTAAATCAGCTGGGTGATTTAATCCCAGCACTTGGGAGGCAGAGGCCGGAGGATCTCTGAGATTCAGAAAAGCTGAGGCTGTCTCAAAAACAAAATAATTAATTCACTAAAGGCATTAAGTTTTTTCTCAGTTCAGTGTAAGATTTTCCTAGGCTAGGTTATTTATATAGCTAGTGACAGGTAAGGGCAAGCTTGCTTTAAAGATTTTCTTGTTCCAAAGAACACTGCCTACTCTAGAGAGAGTATTTTATGAAATGTCTAAAGCTATAGTAATTGGGTGGCATATGCCTTTAATCACAGCATTCAAGAGGCAGAGATAGGCAGATCACTGTGAGATCTAGGTCAGTCTGGTCTACAATGAGAGTTCCAGGCCGGCTGGGGCTACAGGGAGACTCTATCTTAAATACCAAAAGCAAAAACCCCCCCCCCCCCCCAAAAAATAAGAAAAAAAAGAAAAACCCCCAACCCCCCCAAAATGCTACAGGCAGGCCAGGTACAAAGATCTGTAGGAGTTAAAACACATGAGCACAGTCCTGTACATATATACACACACACACACACAAGCAAATATTTTATTTTTTTAAAGAAAAACTAGATAGCTCTGCTATGCTTCTGGTTCCTCAAAGCCATAAGTGATTATTTCCCTCTTCCTTAAGAAAAACTGAATAAATTAACTAAGAGAATGAGGCTGGCTGCTCAGAGTTAGCTGACTATTACCAACATCACATACTGTATGGTATCCTAGTCATAGGAATAGAATAGGTAGGTGAACATTGAAACCAAGCCAGGTGTAAAATATTCCTCACCAGGACAATTTTTCTTTGGAAATATTTGAATTGAGGGATACATACATATGGCTACCAGCTAAGGAGTTTTTTTTGAGGTTAATTACATTGAATTTTGAGCTAAAATACAAAAATTCTAAAGTTAATAAACTTTAAGTTAAATTGCTTCAGTAAAATTGAAGGCACATAACAGAAAAGCCTTGTTAAAGCACTCTACGGTTATGTGTTATGTAAAAGATATTCCAGGGGGCTGGAGAGATGGCTCAGCAGTTAAGAACACTGGTTGTTCTTGCAGATTACCTGGGTTCAAATCCAAGCATCCACATGGCAGCTAACAACTCTCTGTAACTCCAGTCCCAGGGGATCTGACAGCCTCTTCTGACCTCCGTGGGCACTGCACGACATGGGTGCACTTACCTACATGCAGGCAATACACACATACAGATAAAATAAAAAATTTTTTTAATCTTTATTTTTATTTTATGTGTATGACTGTATTGCCTGCGTGTAGGTAAGTGCACCCATGTCATGCAATGCCCCAGGAGGACAGAAGAGGCTGTCAGATCCCCTGGGACTGGAGTTACAGAGAGTTGTTAGCTGCCATGTGGATGCTTGGATTTGAACCCAGGTAATCTGCAAGAA